CAATTATTGAATAAATATTATTAATTATTATATTATTATATTTAAAAAATGTCGATTATTTCTGCGCCTCCTTCTTTTCTTTTCCTACTCATGCATGCCTCGCGCTATCTCTCTCTCGCTCTCTCTTTCTCCCGCGCACGTCATCCTTTTCCCACACCAATGCGGACGCTATCCTTCTCCTACACGCGTGCGTGCCTCGCGCTGTCCTTCTCGCACCGCCTTACTAACGCCGTATCTCGCATCATCCACGTGCATGTCTCGCGCTATCTCTTCTTTCTCTCTCTCTCTCTCTCTCTCTCTCTGTTCCAAGTGCATGCCTCGCGCTATCCTTCTCGCGCTATCTCTCTCTCACACCTACTCGCGTGCGTTCTCTCTTTCTCGCGGGTCCCTTGCCAACCGATTTCGCGCGGTCCCCCTCCCCCCACTTCGCGGACCCCTCGCCTACCGGTTTCGCCGCGGTCCCCCCGCGTGACGTCATACCCCCCGCGTCGGTTTCCCCTCCCCCCCCCCCTCAGAGGACCATGGCTTAGAACTCTCTTAGTATCACTACTATCATCGCTTCAAAGTATGAGCTTTATTGGATCAAGGATCCACGTTCAGTTTTATTTCGGAGTCTTTGTGTCAAATAATGCGGACGAAACGGCATCGCGCCGGTCTTCAAATCTGCTGTTTTGGCGAAAAATATACCGTATCGTGAAGTCAAGAGTTGTTGTAAGATTATCGCCGTGTTCTAAAAGCGCGCCGATATTTCCGTTAACCGCGTATGTGTACCAGAGAATCACTTCGTACGCGGCTTCGCAAACTCGGCCCATCGATTCGTGGTCTCATCTAAGAGACTTGTCGCTCGCGGATCCCAATCCGGCAAGTAATCATCTGATACATCTATTGATCGGTGCTGATCTCTATTGATCACTATTGTTAGGTGACCTTCGTCAAGGTCCCATCGGTACACCCACCGCACAGAGCACCGCGCTCGGGTGGATCTTATCTGGTCCGACGGGCGCCGACCGACTCACGATGGAGTGCACATCGGTCTTACATTGCGTATCGGACGCAAATACGAATTTATTGCTACAAAAATTTTAGGAAGACGAGAAAATCTTCCAAACGCTTCCTCTGACGGAGGAAGAGAAGCAGTGTGAGGAGCACTTCTTAACAACTCACTCTCGCTTACTTCAGGGTAGATACGTTGTTTGTTTACCATTTAAACAAAGTCCTCCTGTAAAAATCGGAGAATCGCTACCTATCGCGCTATCTCTTTACAATCGTACGGAAAAGAGCTTACAACAACGCCCAGAGATCTGTGCTCAGTATAACGAATTTTTATGCGAGTATCAATTGCTCGGTCATATGAAGCTCATCGACGATGTAGAAGAAAGAACGGTCCCTCCCTCATGGTGTATATTCCACACCATGCTGTCGTGCGCAAATCAAGTAGCACTACGAAGTTACGCGTGGTTTTTAATGCTTCGTGTAAAACCCGCGACGGAACCTCTTTAAACGATCATCTGTTAATTGGACCGAAATTGCAGACTGACCTCGCTGCGATAATATTGCGTTGGCGTCAATGGTGCTACGTGTATACGGCAGATATAGCAAAAATGTTTCGCTAAATCTTAGTTAATCCACTCAATACAGATTTTCAAAGAATTTTATGGCGTCCCAACAAAGATTTGGCGGTGAAGCATTTTCGTCTTTTTACGGTCACGTATGGCCTCGCGTCCGCACTTTATCTCGCTATGCGTGTTCTCAAACAACTCGCGACGGACAACGGTCACGCGTTTCCTAAGGCTGCCGCTATTATCGAGAGTTCGCTATATGTCGATGATACATTATTCGGAGATGACGATATGGACGGACTGCGGGATACACGGAATCAATTAATCGAACGGATTGACGGATATTCCGGTCGATCAACATGAACTAATCGATCATTTTCTTACGAAAGACGACACTCTTAAGGTCCTAGGCCTGTCGTGGGTGCCCAAGAAAGATTCCTTCCGTTTTGTGATTTGTTCGGCAACGCAAACGCTAACGACGAAGCGTTCAATTCTGTCATTTATCGCGAAACTTTATGACCCGCTTGGGTGGGCCGCTCCGATTGTTATTACGGCAAAGATTCTATTGCAAGAACTCTGGTCATTCAAGGGCGATTGGGACGATCCGGTCCCGACAGATTTAAATCAACGTTGGAGTGATTATTATTCGGATTTGAAACAATTAGGTAACGTCCTGATTCCTCGATGGACCGGACGACATAAAGAAAATTTAGGCGTCGAAGTGCATGGATTCGCGGACGCATCAAACCGTGCCTATGTCGCGGTAATATACTTGCGAGTGCTTCACACTCTCGATAGCTTTCAAGTTAGCTTACTCGCGGCAAAAACAAAGGTCGCACCTCTTAAAACAGTGAGTATCCCGCGACTTGAGCTTAACGCTGTCGTACTCCTTTGTCGGCTACTAAAATGGATGCTAAGCTCGTTGAATCTCTCTCAGGCTCCGCTCTACGGGTGGACTGATTCTACGATCACGTTAGCATGGCTCAAGCAACATCCTTCTAAATGGAGCACTTATGTAGCCAATCGCGTGTCGGAAGTGCCGACTTCATTACCTGCAATTCGTTGGAATCATGTTTCTTCGAAGCACAATCCCGCTGATTGTGTCTCTCGCGGCCTATTCGCGACTGAATTCGTGTCACACAACCTCTGGTGGCCAGGTCCACCGTGGTTGCAGAAAGCCTCTGCCTCATGGCCGATTCACGATCCCGCGCCTCCGCTTGATTCGTTTCAGCATATTCAGATGTCGGAAGAGGCTCGAAAATAAGCGGTGCATCATGTCGATCTCGCGTCAGAGTGGGAACTCCCATACGACTACTCGAGCTGGACTAAATTAGTCAGGGTCACTGCTTACGCCGCCGATTCGCTGACAATTTACGGCGAAAGAGACTCTCTCAGCCGCTTGTTCTCTCTGTCCTAGACGTCATGGAGCTACGCAACGCAGCTAAATTTTGGTTTTGTTTAATACAACAATCCCATTTCTCGGAGGAATTGAGAGCAATGAAAAGGGGATCGCCTGTTTCCCGCTCAAGTTCACTGCGTGCTTTAAATCCTTTCCGCGGAGACGATAACTTACTCCGCCTTGGCGGGCGGTTGAACAATGCCGCTATTGGTTATTCGGAGCAACATCCGATTATACTGCCAAAGCATCGCATATCAAAGCTACTCGTAGATCAAACGCACGAAGCCACACTTTATGGTGGCACCCAGCTAACGTTGCGTACCTTGCGATAACGTTATTGATCTTAGGAGCTCGCAGTTTAGTTAAAACGCGCATTCGACGATGTGCGATTTGCACGCGTCGCACGGCTGCTTCTCCGATTCAAATGATGGGAGACTTACCTCTCCCTCGTGTTACGCAATCTCCTCCATTTTCGCATACTGGGGTAGATTATGCCGGACCTTTCGACATCACACCTTACGTAGGTTGTGGTCAGAAAACCACGAAGCACTACGTTGTCTTGTTTATATGCCTAGCCACGAAGGCTATCCACTTAAAAGATGTGGACGATTGTTCCACCGCCGGGTTTATCGCTGCCCTTCAACGTTTTGCTAGCCGTCGTCGATTACCGTCGCATATGTACAGCGACAATGGCACCAATTTTCATGGTGCAGACCGCGAGCTTCAAAAAAGCTTTACCGCCTTACAATCGGATCCCTCCGTGTTCGAGAAATTATCGAACGACGAAATGTGAAATGTGTGAAATGGCATTTTATACCTGCCGCAATGCCTCATTTCGGAGGCCTCTGGGAGGCAGGTGTCAAAAGCTTTAAATATCATTTAAAACGGGTAGTGGGATCTCGTACGCTCTCGAGGGCGGAATTTGCGACGCTGCTTTGCAAGATTGAAGCGTGTTTGAACTCGCGTCCCATTACGGCTCTTACCGATGATCCGAGCGATTTATCGACCCTGACGCCGGGCCATTTTCTTTTTGGCCGTCCGATTACCTCAGTTCCAGAGGAGTCGGTAATCGAAATTGAACCGAATCGTTTGTTGCGCTGGCAACTCGTGCGAGCGAAAAAAAATTGTTTTTAAGAAAAAGTATGTAATTATTTACAATATATTTTTTTAAACAACTATTTATAATTTTCTACTTTTGTTTCGGTACTTTTTGTTAAAAGACGCACATTTTCCATGATATTTGGAAAAATGTGTAAAATAATCATTGCATCAGAAGTTTTTGAGCGATAACTTCTTAAGGAAGCATTTTGCGTCCCATGTTTATAGGAAATATTGTGTTCAGAATTAAATTTCCTGTAAGATCTCAAAGTCTGGCTGGAACGTTCGGGGCCACCCTGTATATGTATATATATACAGGGTGTATCCTAAAAAGTGGGAAGTATTGCAATGGGGGATTCAGGACACAAAAATAAGAGAAAAAGTTCATATAAACATATGTCCGATATGACCTTGTTTTCAAGTTATAGCTTGTTTTATTTTTCAACAGAATTAAGATAATTATGGTTACAGGAAGTGCTCAAAATGACTATCTGTAACTTGAATACAGGCTTCAACACGTCTCATCATAGATTCTCTGACTTTTTCAAAAATTCCGAGTATTGCTTGAATTTCCCGGCAACCATCTTCAACACGTTGAAGTATCTCGACGTTGTCAATGGGTGTTTTGTAAACAATGGATTTTAGACGCCCCCACAAGTAATACGCGTTTATGTTTACAAATTAATAAGACCTTAAGTCCTTCAAATCTTGTACATAAGCAGCAAACCGATATCCAAGTATGCTATCTTAACTCTATTGGAAAATAAAAAAGCTTTAATTTGAAAACAAGGTCATATCGGACATATGTTTATATGAACTTTTTCTCCTATTTTTGTGTCCTGAATCCCCCATTGCAATACTTCCCACTTTTTAGGGTACACCCTACAGGGTGTTCCAGGAGGAAAGGTCAATATTCTGGGAGGTGATTGTATCGGTCATTGTAAGCAAAAATGTTCATATGAATATATGTCCTATTACCCACGGTTTCCGAGATACAGCGACTTGAAGGTACAGTTGCAAAATTACTGACAAGAAAGAAATACTACGTACTATTTCTAATTCGGAAACCGTGGGTAATAGGATATATATTCATATGAACATTTTTGCTTAAAATGACATATACGATCACCTTCCAGAATATTGACCTTTCCTCTTGGAACACCCTGTATATACAAAAAAAACCCTGAAAAGTTTCGAAAAATATAAGTTTTACAGAAAATTGTTTCGAATAAAAGTTGAGGGGTTACTGTATATACAAGACATAAAATAATTCTGCAAATAAGAAATATTATTTTTATTTTAAAATCGCTGCTTCAGATATCCCGTGACAGAAAATATTTAATAGATCAGCACGCTAAGACTCCTTCACATATTGGAAAATGCGAAAAATTTAAAAAGTCTACTGTTCTTCACCAAACTTTAGGCCAATGCTTAAAAAATAATTCTAAACTGGCCGAACAAGAAGTGTTCAACAAAGATTTATGTCAAGCTCTAGTCGCTTCAAATATTCCTTTAAATAAGTTAAACAATATAAATTTTCAATTATTTCTTAAAAAATATTGTAAACAACATATTCCTGATAAAAGTACATTACGAAAAAAATTAGTAAATTCATGTTATGCCGAAACAATATCTAAAATCAGACAGATTATAGACAACAATTATATTTATTTTATAGTGGATGAAACTACCGATATTTGTGGTCGGTATATTGCGCATTTATTGATAGGTTCTCTTTGCGAAGATAACGTAAGTAAGTTATATTTAATATCGTCAAAACAGCTTGAAAAAACAAACAATTTAACAATAACTCGCTTCATTCAAGACGGATTGTCAGAATTTTTTTTACCCGACCATGTGTCTTCTCAAAAAATTTTACTGTTATTGTCAGATGTCGCACCATATATGATTAAAGCTGGCCAAAATTTAAAAATATTTTATGAAAATTTAATCCACGTCAGTTGCTTAGCTCACGGTCTTAATCGTGTAGCTGAAGAAATTAGGAATCAATTTCCATTAATTAATGATTTGATGAAAAACGTAAAAAAAACCTTTTTGAAAGCTCCTCTACGGGTTCAATTTTACAAAGAGCAACTTCCCAATACTCCACTTCCTCCTGAACCTATAATAACAAGATGGGGTACATGGCTGACGACGGCTCTTTTTTATGCAGATAATTACAATCCTATAATGAATGTTATTCTTGCTCTTACGAATTCGAGCTTTGCAATTCAAAATTGCATAGAATTATTTAAGAAGACCGAAATTAAACAACAACTTGGATTTATTAAAAGCAATTACAGTTTCGTGGCAAAAATAATTGAGAAATTGGAAAAAGAAGGGATGAGTTTGTTAGAATCAATTGAATTAATCGAAAAGTTCGAAATTTCATGACGATAGCGATTTATCGCGCCGGCGTGTCTCCTGCAGGACTCTCGCTCGGCACTGTTCGGCGAGATAGCGAGAAGGACGCAGGCCTCGTAGAGCGAAGCCCAATTATCGAACAGGAAGGAAAATCGAGAGCTTCCAGCCGGTAGACGAGCGTCGTCGACCGATTTTGTTGCCGAATAATTGTAGGTAATTAATTCGGATGAGTCGCGCCCTTAATAGTTGTCGAGCCACGCGTTTTGGTGAATTAACTTTGTGAATATGTTTGGTAGATTAAGTCGCACGGCCGACGGGCACACGTCGCTCCTCCGAATTATATAAAATAGGATCTCTCTATTCATTTCGCCGCTGCCGACAGTCATTAATGTTAGTCTCGCGTTCGTAATTATTACATGTTGTAAAGTATCGGGATTTTCACGCTCGCGCGATCGATATTCCGGATCGCGCAAAGTATTGCGTCGTACGACTCGTACACCACAGTCGTCACCGATAGTTTTCGTATTCTTTTTGAGTATTGTTAGCAATAATCTTGTACACGCTAAGCGTAATTAGAGTGAGGAGAAAGCGTAATTCTCCGATATCGGGCAGAGTATCTATCGGGTGTTTGTGACCCCGTTGTTAGTTTTCGCGAGTCATCCGAGTAATATACGTGGCGTATTTCAAGCTAAGGTCGTCGTTATTATTATTGCGGCACATTCCAGCACCACGAGCTGTGTTAAAAGACCGATTCGAGTCGTATCACCGGGAAATTTATATTGTATTGAAGCGGATTCACGAGCGTAAAGTAGTTACCGGCGCATTCGAAAGATTTCTTTAGTCGTCGCGGCCTAATTAAGTCTCGTACGGCGGAAATCCTCGCGGCCGAAAAGTCAAGTTAAAAGCGTTTAAGACGCCTGGTAATTTGATACTGTTGCGCACGGTCGTGTTGATCTCCGCGGAAATTAGATGATATGACATTTTATTCGCCTGTAGAATAACCATTGTCGTCCACGATTATTACTTCTGTGAACTGCTCTATACTCTTGTTTCATTTAATATATTATTGTTATTATCCTTATTTTTAACTTATCGAATGCTCAAGTTTTGCTCCCGTGTTCTCGATTCTTAAGATCTCGTCCGTTTTCCCCCGAACCGGCCCCTCTACCATTTCGAGTATATTGAGTAGCCGTGGAATTTTGCCGTCGCGTTAATTATCGGTCTCGCAATTGTCTCTCAGCGTTACTATTATCGTGAATGGTGCGGTCTGCCGTACCTGGCGCCCAACTCGGTTTTTTGGTGAGATATGGACTTTTTCGGGATATCGGGATCGATATTCGAGATAGGCCGAAGGTGTGCCGTGGGCACCAAACACCGCCCGCCGAATAAATAATTATTATTTAAATAATTTAAAAGAAATTACGGTTACAATATTGTGACGTTGCCGTCTTGCGCGCGTCCGCCGAGTCCCTCTCCGATCGAAAAGCGCGGGCTAAAGGGCCGCGCCAGTCGAATCATTGCGAGAACCGTACCGTTACCTCCAGAGAGGCGTCATTAATTGAGATTTCGAGCGTAATATTAATTTCGTTTATGATTTTCTTTCGTATGAATAATTCATTTGGGAGCCTCATCGGAAGAAGGAGCGGAAAGTCGCTGAAGCGTCACGGAAAATACGATCGCCAATCAAGGAAGACCTTGAAGGGGCAAGGAGCCAGCAATTTGGAAATCCAAAACATCTAACGACCAAACTAGCTACGTCACAACGGGATCAGGATCCGCACACGTGATGCGCAACGCACGGGACAGCGAGGGGATCCTCGCGCAAGGACACAGGCCCATGCGGATATATATATGATATCTAATAATTCGCGAATCATATCTCGTGTAAATACAGAGCGTGTTAAACTGAGTAAAAAGGTTCTTTTACCAATTTGCGATTTTTGTAATAATCAATAAAAAATTAATTAATAAAGACTGGTCAATCCGCGCGAGTATGGGTACAATCGCGAGGCGAAAAAAACCCAATCTTACATAGGGTGCATTCCACGTGTCAGGGGTCCACCTAAAAATGAACTGCTTGGGATTTTAAAAATGATCATGAAAACATGTTAGTGCACATATTGTATAAGGTTAAAGATAAAAAAAAAATAAGTATTATATGCGTTGCATCCAAGGTATTGGAGGTAGGTCGTTTTAAAAAATTTTTCTTTTTTTGACATTTATAGCTAAAATTATAAAATATACAACATTTTTATAGACATGAATTTTTTAGGATTTTTCCCGTACTTTCAGATAAAAAAGTTAATTTTAGTGAGAAAAATTTAATAGTATGAAAAATATCAATTTTTTTAGTTTTAAGTAAATAAATGAAAAATTATATCCACTTTTAAAAACCTGAAAAAATTCTCAAAAATACTCCAATATATGTAGAATATGGTACCATAAAGGAAATTTTGGGATCGCAATGGGATCCACTCGTAAACAAATATTTTTTCCAAAACAAAATTGGAATTTCAGCCAAATCAATATAAAACAAATAGATTTTTTAAGATACTTCCATTTACAGTTAATTTTTTAATATATTATTGCTCAATTATTTGTCAGCGGCCGTAAAAAATTTTATTTTATAACTTTCGTTCCCCTAGTTAATTAGTTGATCATGTAATACAAATTTCACCGCGCTATGATTGTACCGAACAGATTTGACTTTCGAGCGCTAGATGGCGAATTGAAACCGAAGTGAATCCACAAACGAAATGCAAATGCAATGGTATAAGAGCAGGCACGAATTTGCTCAACTTATTTCTAACTATTTTAGTTTGTGCTGCATTTGCTTGTGTTGCTTTTATTTGTGTTATTTTTGTTCTTACTCTGTCTGTTGTTTTTATTTTGGATTTTATTATATAAATAATAAAAATAAAAGTAAAGGAATATTCCCTACAATGTCTTTACGCATTGCAAAAATGTGTACAAAGCAGCAGATTTTTCGCTGTTGTAATCCATTTAACATAGTCCCTCACAGAAAAAGTACACTTTTTTGCAATGCGTAAAGACATTGTAGGGAATATTCCTTTACTTTTATTTTTATTATTTATATAATAAAATCCAAAATAAAAACAACAGACAGAGTAAGAACAAAAATAACACAAATAAAAGCAACACAAGCAAATGCAGCACAAACTAAAATAGTTAGAA